CTTTGCCTGATACTGCTGCTGGAACTTTGGGGAAGTTACTTAGCCTCTCTGTGCCTCAGTTTTCTCACCTGTAAAATGGTAATCATATTAGCATAGTACAATTTTCTGCATAGGGTCGTTATGAAGATTAAGAGTTAACATATGTAAAGAGCATGGCAGATAGCAAGCATTATTTAAGTGTTGACAATTATTATTGAAAGTTTAAGCAGAGTCTTTCAGGACCATTGTGTAGGGTATTTGCTATTTTTTTTAATACCTAGAGTAATATCACTTTCTTTCAGAAAATTGCTCCAACCACTGTAGGCATGTGAACTTTTAATTAGAGATTGCTAATCCCGGGTCTTGGCCTGGCCCCACAGACAACATGTGACCCAGACTGTGCCAATAATAGTAACTCTCTTCCAGGTCACAGCGATGGCCTGACCTGGATCAACTAGAAGCAGTTACAAAGAAATTGACTTTGCCTCTTAAGTCACAGGCTAGAATGATTTGAGTCTCCTATAGGTACATTTGGGTTGTTAATATATTTTATTACAAGCAAACAGAGACTTCCTTGTTCATATAGGATATCTGTGAGATAACAACTTATTGGAATAGAATTGTAATCTTTGTTTTTAATATGTTACTTTCACTGTCAGGTTGAATATTCTTTTTTATTCTAGGTTTCTGTACAAGAGGACCTAGTTCAAGTGCAGCCAAAGTTTAAAAGCAATCTACTTGAATCTGTGGAAGTTTTTCGTGAGGATGTGATAAACTTTGCAGAAGCATATGAGTTGGTAATTTAAGTATTTTCTTGCTGTATGTTGAAATGTTCTGTGATATGTTTACATGAAATGAAAGTGATGAACCCAGAGGAATAGGTATGTTGCATGTAAGTGGCTATATTTGCAGCTATCAGGAAAAGGGGATAGCTAATCCTTTAAACCAGGGATGTCCAATCTTTTGGCTTCCCTGGCCATATTGGAAGAAGAAGAATTTTTCTGGGCCACACATAAAATGCGCTAACACTAACGATAGCTGGTTAGCTTTTAAAAATTGCAGAAAAATCTCATATTGTTTTAAGAAAGTTTATGAATTTGTGTTGGGCTACATTCAAAGCTCTCCTGGGCTTCGTGTGGCCTGTGGGCCGTGGGTTGGACAAGCTTGCTTTAAGCAAATTTTAGAGAGAAAGAAAACAGATTTTACTGTTAAAAGGAGCAACAACTTTGGAGATTGTGGAAGGAACAAAGGGTCTGGTTTTGTCCTTTCTCGGGGCCTGAATTCTCATGGTAGAAAATGTAATATAGTTGTTGAAAGGCTGTGAGAAACTATAAACGCCTAATACCAGGATATTATGCCATTGATTTTGTGTTCTCACTAACTCTTAGAGAACCAAAAAGGTCCCTGAGAATAAATAATAGATGTCTTACTGGGTCAGTCCATGACATCTACTCAAACTGGTATTCTGACTGATAATGTTGACCTTGAAGTTAAACTCAAGACTGAATATGTTCCCCTGAAATATTCTTTCTTTTAGTGGTCACAGTGGATCTGTATTCATAAGATGATTTAAGCCCTTGGTGCTACTTATATAATGTTTTTTTTTAAACATGTGCTAAACATATCTGTTGATTTGCCCCCTCATTCTATTGTTAAAGTAAGTTTAAAATGGAGACCAGGTCTGAAGAGTTCCTGAACAGACACAGCCAGTCACTTATATAATGCTGTTTTTTTTTTTTTTTTTTTT